GTTACATCAACGAAGACAATTGTTTGTATCCAGGAACTAACCAACCACAATACTAAATAATAACTATAAACTACAATAAGTAAAAAAAAATTAAATGTAAAAACAGCAGCCTACATGTTAACTTAAAAAAAAAGTGTGTGTGTGTGTGTGTGTGTAGGTGTGCGTATGCGTGTGTGATGATAACGGAATGGTAACCCCGCCTGCGCTATCGGTATACACTGGCGGGGCACCAGTGAGAGATGATAGGTGAGGATGAAGCAAATCAGTTGGCCTATCGTGATGAATTCCACAAGTATTAACCACGATAGTTTCCAGGAGGAACCGCGTGAAGGTCTACCGGATAGGGTGTATTGCTAGTAATGGGGAAATTAGACTCCATTACTAACAATCTCTCTCCCCCTCCCCCCAACACTCCTGTTGTAACACTTAAGATTCAAAAAATGTTTTTGCTTGATCTGTTTTAGAAAATCAAATGAAACATTTTCTTACTACATTGTTTTATTGCGAACTAAAGTAACAATCTCTTTTTATTTTTTTTAATGGGTGATAATGGTATGTTAATGGTAGCACAGGCGGGGCTACCCTGCGCTAGCGGGATACGCTGGCGGAGCACCAGTGAAGGGTGATAGATGAGAATACATACTCAAATGCGACTCCAAAGCTTCTTAGAAGCTTTGGAGTCGCATTTGAGTATGAAAGAACGTCAATAAGATCACACAAATGTTCTAAAGGTAACAACTCATTAGCAGAAACCGATTGAGACGCTAATGTTAAATCAGGTACAGCTCGGGCTCCCATAATAGTATGAACCTCAGAGCAATGCTTACCTTTAATATTAAAATCTACTAAACCAGTGGTAACACTACAAGTACCAACAACAGTTGTGATGTTCATGTTTTGTTGAGGTCCGCTAAGACCTAACTGCTTCGCTAAGTCGGCATCGATTATTGAAACGGAGGAACCATCGTCTAAAAGTGCAAAAGTTTCGATATCGGCAGTTGGACCATATAATATAACAGGTAAAATTTTTAAAAGTATCCGATCTCTTTGCACTTCTTTATTTGAAAAAGAAACTGCATTGCTAGTACTCGTACTCGGAACTGATTTATTATCAGAAGAAGAGTTTATATTTAGTATCGTCGTTACGATGCTCACTAACCGGACTCCTCGAAAAGCATCCTTGACCGCACTCCGAGCCAGGTAACTGCTGTGCTCCTGACAGTCTACCCCTCGACGGCGATACAAGCGCTGCATTATTCAATGAGCCAACCTCTTGCTGATGATAGAACGATTCGGGCGGGTCGAAATCTGGATCGGGCGGTAACGGAACTAATAGCGCTTCCCGCACCGACTCCACGGAATGTCGTGACCGAACACTTTCACCATTTATAACACTACCTAGATAAAACTGTTGACCTTCGGCCTGGGTTTCCCTCATCGCCGCCTTCGATCTTGAGATCATAATTTTGAGAAAAATAATAAATTTGATAAATGAGGAAACTGGTGCTGAATTCAAACCGAGAAGGACCAAAATATGTGGGCGACAAAGGAAACCAGGAACAGAAATTGGAAATATATGTATAATAGTTAAAGGAACTTAGAAGACTAGGGCCGAGAAGTCAAGCCAAAAGGAAACAACAGATACGCGTGTCAATTTCGAATTTGGTAAATAATAATATATAGCTATAAATAATATATGTGGCCTGTACTCCACAACTAGTGTGTACAATAAAGAATTAACTAAATAAATAAATATCTGTATGGATTTATGTTTGAACTGTATGTTAAGATTATGGTATATATATTTCTTGATTTATCTTTCTGAACAATATATCATAAATAGTGAAGTTTAGAACTCCGCAAAGGTAGACGCAGTGGATTATAAGGTCATTCATGCACTCTAAAGCGTTTAACTTAATAATTAAAAAGAGATAAAATTTAAACAACTTTATTTTCTATGCTCAAAAATCAACAAGAACAGTAGTCATGGAAACTAGAACTAATTTACCAAGATAAGTCACATCACTAACATAGACCAAGTAATAGTACCTATGATCTCAGAATACCTATCTATTACAAATAGATACAACAGCCCCATTTTTACAACGGGAGTAAACAACGATTTAAAAGTCCTTATAATAAAACTCTGTTTTAATAAAGATTATTTGTATTTTAATTAAAACCATTCTAGAACTAGTATTCGCATTAGTTTTGAATATATACGAAAGAGTTATTTAGAATGTATTTTATAATAAATATTGAAGTACGTATTTCTTTCTGTTACTACCAGATTACAAAAACTGAGGGTGGATTTCCTATTTATTTATTTATTTATTTATAGCAAGGCAACAGATTACAAATTAATACATTTATAAAATAAATATTACATAAAACGGCATTAAATTTGCACTCCAATAACTGCTTTACATAACACTCGATATTATATACATTAAAAGAATGACGGCTGTAAATTTAAAGTAACAAATTTACAGCCCTAATGTAATATTGCAAGGATTGTTGGAAAATATCAAGCTCCTTGCGTACATTGTTATATTTTCTGCACATGCGGATAATTGGATTGTGATACGATACTTTATTATTACAAATCGGTATATAAAATAATTTTTGTATTCTCTTATTACCTGTACGAAATGAAACAAGGCTCAACAATGTGCTACTGTCCCATTTATAATTTATTATTTTATATCAATTGTAAAAAAAATGGTAACGTAGATTGGACTTTTTTTTAATGTATAATAATGGAATAGTTAGCTAAGAGGTGATAGGTAAAAATGAAAAAGCAGATCAGTTAGCCCATCGTGATGAACTGGAATTCAGCACGATGATTTCCAGGGGGAACCACGTGGAGGCCGATCTGATAGGGTATTTTGCTAGCAATGCGACTGATAGTCTGCATTACTAACAATATTTTTCCTCCCCTCCCCCGCAGTAATAGGGACTAGCAGCCTAATTGCTACCCTGTCAGGTCCACCTCCTTGCGGTCCTCCCTGGAAATTATTGTGCTTAAATCAAGGCGAACCCGAGTTCTCACCACGGATGCCCCAAAGAGTATATAACTAAGATACCCACAGATGAGAGATTATATTTATATATTTTTAACGCAAGCGGAGTTATTATTTTATTATCATCCATTAAAAATATATTTAATAGGTAAGTATGCACTTTAACAAACAGCGCCATTTAGTATTAAGTGGAAAAAGAGAGAACTGATTCATATTATGAATTTTAGTTCTTAAATCGTTCTGCAGAGGCAGCACCAATGGTTGCTGTTTATACGTTTAATAACAAATTTTTATTATTTTTATTTATTACCTTAAACTAGCTGTGCGAGATTCCGATTGATTTTGGTATTCGAATAATTAATAATATATTAATTAATAGATGTAATGTAATAAGTAATAAATAAATTACATTATTAATTATTATTAATATAATATATTCATTATTATTTTATATTCAAATGCTTTTAATAATTAGTAATCGATCAGTATAATGAAAACAAAGTCCGTTCTCTATATTTACTACTACTACCACACCATTACCTTTAACAATAAGTGATAACAAGTGACAGCCAAAATAAGTCAACTACGTTAATTTCCAAGCTACATATTATTAATTAATTATTAACAATTTACTTTACTACTTATCTTATTTTTCGCATATGGGGTCAGCTAAGCCGTTGCACGTCGACCCATACGGATCTTTTGTGCTTCCCTCTGCCTTATACCATCATTTCATAGATCCTATGTGTTACCCTAACGATATCCCGCGGTTTAAGATATCTGTAGTCCCCTGGCTTTGGATAAGCCCAGCGTTCCCAGTAGACTCATACGCATACTTGCCAACAAATCGCAGTTGCACATCAAGTGTTCTATGGATTCCGATTTCTCCCCGCACAGTCTGTAAAGTGTGTCCGAGGATAGACCCATCTTGTGTAGTATATGCCTTATTGGCATATGTCCAGTTAGGGGACCCGTAATGAGTCTTGCCTGTTGTCTGCCACCGCTGTAGATGAGTTTATCTCATCCCTCAACATTGTCATTTAAGAACTTTTTAGAATGTCTAAGACCCTTCAAAACAGCAAAACAAATGGAGGACCCATTCCTTTTGCTGTTATTTCCTCACATACTCCTCAAGGGCAGAGTTAACAACATTTGATGCATGCAACGTATGGTTCAGGACCTACCATTTTTGATTCTGATCCCTTTCTCGCTAACTCATCGGCCTTTTCATTACCTTTAATCCCTTTATGTCCAGGGACCCATACCAAACTAACCCTATTATGCCTACCCAAATTATTTAAGTTTTGAATAGTATTTAAGGTTAACCCTCAAATTCACACTTGTTGATAAAAGTGCTTTGATAGTCGCTTGACTGTCACTCAAAATATAGATATTCTTGTTTTTTACATGTTTATCCAGATTCATAGCTACACAGGTGGCAACGGCATACATTTCTGTTTGGAAAACAGTAGAGTATTTCCCTGTGCTTTGACTTATTTCGTTTTATAATAACGAAATAAGTCAAAAATAATTAGAATTTTCTTAATGTTCTTTCTTGACAACTGTCATATAAATTTTTTCTGAACTCATCATGCATTATTATTATTTTTAAAGATAAGAAATTGATTTAAGATAAACTATTATATTATTCCTATCTATACTTCTTTGTTTTTAAACAATTTATATAAATTTTTAGAATAATAATTCCTTTGTAATGTAAAAGTACATAACTTATTTGTGAAGACAGAGGTTCGACACAATTTACTTTTTATACTTAGATAAAGCAAAATGACACTAACCAATGAAACAAAGTTTAATCTACTCATTGAATTAAAATTTGTAGATTGGCAACAATTATCTTGATTAAAGATTAACCGGTAAATGCATCCCTGTACATCCGGCTTTTTCCACTCTGTGCCTTGTCTATGGTTAGGTTGACTATCTCTCTCGCTCTCTCTTACTACTTATTGTATTCTCTTTTTCTTCTTCAAGCGCAAGCGACGCTATTCTAGTGACGCCGCGCCATTACGCCAGAATCTCTTAAATTTGTTTCTTTTATTTCTCATATTGAATGTATTAAATGAATTGAAACTGAAGAAGATAAATTTCCTGCTTCAGAAAAATGGTCAATTTACATATGAAGACAGTCAGGTTAGTGGCTTAATGTAAAATTATTGCTTTATTTGCATATCACCATATTCTGGGTTTACAATTTAACATGCACAATCTTTATAAATCACACTGAAAAAGTTAGTATGTTACAATTATTCTATATTAATCTACTTAATTGACTTTAATAACATGCTTTATATTCAAAACAGGGGTCAGGCTACTAAATAGCACAAACTTTTTGGATCCCCAATTTTTGCAGTTTATCTCTAAACCTTTTACGAATATCAAAATCTTTTAATATTGAGATAGCGGCTCTAATTTCTTAATACTTAGTCGTTTTCGATTCACGTTATTTATTATTATTATTATGCAAATGACCAAACAATGTCGCTCCATTATGGCGCCCGTGTGCTCACAATAAGATGTCGGAAATTTATTTTTCTAAGTTAGAAGTGTAACAGACTTCTGGCTTGACAACCTACTTGGGTCAAGGGTATATTTTTGTTACGTTGCTATGCGGTAATGAGGGCCTGGCTTCGATTTTCGGTCAAGTGATTTAGGAAAAAAAAGCTAAAGTGGCTTCTAGATGTTTGTGTGCGTTCAGAAGTTTTTTTGTGTGGTTTTTCATATATAACACATAGTGTCATGATTTAAATACCGGGTGATTGGTTTATGTCATCATTATCATCATCACCTCGGCTATTACCCATCCATTGCTAAACATAGACCTCCCTTACATAGATAGGCTGCCATAAAGAATAGTCCTGAATCACTTGCATGCACTGACTCCCTACAATGCATTTGAGATGGTCGCTCCATCTAGTGATTGGGTTGTTCTACACTGCATTTGTCTATATAGGGTTGCCACTCAAGAACCTTTATTCCATATCGGTTGTCAGTTCTTCGAGCTATGTAATCGGCTTATTACCACAGCCTGTTATCATACTTAACATGATTGATGTTTGTGGTACATTTACTACTAATACATTAATAAACTGTTTAAAAACTTATATTCAGATTGAATAAAATAAATAGGATTTAAGTTTTCATTTAAAGTTGACTGCTTTATTGTAAGCGGGTTGCAGTTTTATAGATTAATTAAAATAGAGTAAAAATAATCTAAAAACATGAAAAATAGTCTAAATTACTGCCTACTTGTCATTAAAAATTAATAAAAGAATCTTATTAGATAAACAAACATAACAATAATACATTCAATTTTATTTAATGTTTTTGTATGAAGCTGGAACAAACATACAAACAGATAAAATTTTTAAAAATGTTTTTCTGGTTTCTATTGCTCTTATGAAGACCTCCCCCTCGCCCCTCATGTAAACATTTCTTTAATATTTATTTATGTACATACATTGTCCTTTAACAGTTTTATTAATATTAGACTAGTGGCCCACCTCGGCACTGCCTGTGTATACATTCCGTTTTGCTCACTGATTATATAGCTTTCTATAAGTGAAAAAACTTTCTAAATCATTTAAGTATTTTTTGAGAGTTATCACTTTCCACTTTATAAAGTTTATGAACTTAAAAAAAAAGTGGTTCTCGATTCAGTTTTTTTGTTTGTTACTTCATAATTCTACCAGTTATTTTATCTAATATATATATATGTATGTATGTATATATCTATATATATGTATATGTATATATATATATATGTGTGTGTATATATATATATATATATATATGTGTATATATATATATGTATGTGTATATATATATATATATACAGATTGGTCCCATACAAATTTTATCAATATCAATACAGTTGTTATTTTTTAGATCAAAATAACTGGTTTTGTCATAATTAAAAGTCAGTTAATTTTGTGAAACACGATCTTTTATTATTTAAATAGGACAATAAATAAGACTTTTTTAAAAAAAAAAGCAACAGTTGAGTTTCTTGCTCTTTCTTTACTGAAATTGCGTTTCGAATGGGGCGATAATGAGAAAAATGACTATTCAAAAATGCTTAAATGTAAGTTCACTCAAATAAAAATATTTCTTTCTTTCCTGCTTGTTTGTATTGAAATGTGCTTTGTGCATGGATACTATTTCAAGACGTCAAGATTGTGCTTACGTGTTATTGTGATTGTGATATCATTAACCATTACTAATTATTTACCATGTGGCTGTGTATTGGTGTGTGTGCTTAACTGCTTGAAAGTTGTGTTCTGTTTACATAACAAAAATATATCTGTGGTGTGTGGCTGTCTAACTTTTTCAATTTAACTCTTTGAAAGTGCTTAAAGCTTCATTTGGACAGAATCAGAGCTGCAGCAACCACTACACATGTGACAGTGTCTCCCTCTGGTGACAAGATTTATTTAGCTGCTTTTGTTCAACATGAAGGCATGATGTGGCTTACTGGACGACAGCTTAAGTGCCTTTAAAAGCATGGAACAAGTGACAGTTTTGATTATGCAAACAGTGTGTTGAAAGTTCCATAGTTTGGGCTGGGATTCCGTCTTGGTATCTCCAATCTGCACTCCAGCATTCACTGATCTCTGTGAAGAATGGAATAGGAAGAGGATAGAGGATGGAAGAAGAGAACATTGCCTTATTTTCAACTGTTTTGTCACTTTTAAAGGATATATTTTTTTAATTTATTCACCCCATGATAGCCCATAAAATGAATGATTGGTATAATGCTGTCTGCCTACATAAAGCACTAACAGATGTATATAAAAAAGGCATAAATATGTCTATTGAAACTAGATTCTTTCCAGAAAAATCGAAGAACATTTCTTGATATGTCTGTCCTTGTAAAACAAAGTCTTTGGAAGTCAATAATCTCACTATAAAAAATGTTGAAGTTTAGGAAAGTGAAGACAATTGCTGTATTTTATTACAAGGAGGGGCCATAATTATTAAAATAAAGTAAAAATTTATTCTGAAACCTCTTCAGTTTTATTCCTAGCTGGTCACTGTCCGAGTTATTAATAAATTGTACAAAAAAAATTAATATAAAAGAATAAAAATTATAATTAAAATGAAATAACATATATATGTGCATATATTTGGCTAGAGAGTCCAAAACTTGCTATTAGTTTACATAAAATTTTAAAATCTATCTGTTTATACCCTTATTATTTATATATTTACACATAAATATATTTTAACTATTGTACAAGTGTTTTTGGTGTAAACTTTCTAATTTGAAAATGACAAAGTATTCTGTGGAAACTTCTGGCGACCAGAAGGCTGTACTGTACTTTGGTCAATGCATCTCCATAGCCATTCAGTGTGAAATGCAGCAAGTCTCTGGGTACCCAACCAGTTGGCAGTGACTTCAAACAAATTTTGAAAATTATTTTTAAGAAATTTTTTAAGGTCTTGTTATCAATATTTATAATACTTAGGTTTCTAAATATAATGATATTTTTTTTATTGTATTACCATTGTGTTTTACCACATTATGTATTAGATACATTCTTTATTGTACACAGATATGTTATGAAACATCTCCAAAGTTTAACTATGGTTGCTAATAGTGGCGACTACTGGCAAAACCCCCCAAGGGGGAGGCTTGTGTTCAGCAGTGGACAGTGAACGGCTGATTTGATGGTGATGATGATGATAATGATAAGAACAATTAATTTTAAGTGTAATGTACAAAGGCGAGTTTACCTCTAATAAAAGATTTACATATATTTTAGTTTTATATAAATATTCATTATTCAGAATTTCTAATATTTAAAATAGGTTTATATGAAGTATAATATATTTTTTTATAAGAGGTTATGTAATGTAGTGAACAAACAAAAAAAAAAATACTAAATAAATTCTATTTAAAATTAATATATGAAATTTATTTTATTTCAATATCCCATAAGTAAACCCTCGGAGTGCTTTATATGCGCGTGCTTTATTTAAGCTAATAGAGCTTACAATACAAAAAAATACATGCTTTGTATTAAAAAAAAAAATGTTTTTGTTATGTCTGTCAATTTAATACCCACAGTACAATCTTTGTTTAGTTTGGAACTACATATAACCTTGTTTTTTTTTTATGCAATTTTGTATGACACAAGCTGGGTAGTCAGCTGATTGTAAGTGGTACCTGACGCCTGTAAAAGTATACATTTGAACGGCGCCTTGTATGTCACAGTATACAGGGTGTAAATTTGTATTATTTTATACAGAAAAATCCAATTTTAATAACAAAAACCATAGTTTCTTCGATAAGTATAGACTCATGAAAATCGGCTCAATAAGCTTTAAGAAATAGAAATAATAATAATAAAAATGTATTGTACATAAAAATATACCTACAGTCATGGGCTACAGTAATTTCAAAGTTAATATGGTATGGCAGTGGATTTACATGGTACAGAGGAATAACACCCGTTTCATCAGGAATGGCAACGCATGGGGGGTATCATGGGCCAAACAGTATACTCTGTTATGTCCATGGTACTGCTCATGTCTATAGGCGACGGTTACCACTTTCCATGAGGTGGGCCGTCAGCTTGTTTGCCATTCCAAAGTTTCAGAAAAAAAACTTTGGCAAACAAACTGATGGCCCAGCACATTAGCGTCTCAACTAGGCCTGACCTGTATCTTAGGCATCAATGCCTTCCATTACATATTTCAACTTCCAGCAGCAGTATTTCCGAACCGATACGACATCATAACATTAAAAAAGAGCATATTCCTTTTTTAAATTCCGGCAGCACATCGGCAATGCCTTTCTTGTGGGTGATCATGGGCGGCGGTAGTCACTTACCATCAGATGAGACGCAAGTTCGCTTGCCCCCTGTGTTTTAAAAAAAAAATATTTTGTTGAGATGGTTGGATCGAGAAACGGACGACAACATTTATCTTATATTTTATTTAAATACGTATTTTAGCTTTGCAACGCAAGTGACAGATGAAATCAAAGAGAAATAAAATATGTCGTAAGCGGAGTTGTTCCCAAAGCGATAATAGATGGCGCTACGCGTCCCCTTTACATAAATATGATTATTAAATTTAACCTAATTACAACAATTTTCATGCAGTTTCGATATACTACAGTAGTACATATTTCAGTAAAGAATAAATCTGTGACAAATACATACATTTTAATCGTAGTACGTAAAGTCTATGATTTGAACTGGTGATGCTGTCCGTTTATATACATATAACATTCTTTTCAACCAACTAAAAAATGGAGAATTTTTTTTTTTGATGGATGAAAATGGTATGGTAACCCCACCTGCGCTAACGGGATACGCTGACGGAGCACAAGTGAAGGAAAATGATGAATTCGTCAGGAATTAACCATGATAGTTTCCAGGGAGAACCGCGGACAGGTCGACCTAATAGGGCATATCGCTAACAATGGGGCTGTCAAACTCCATTGCTAACAACCTCTTTCCCCCAATGAAGGAGGTTATTTATTAATTCGGTTGGATTTTTTTTTATTTCATAACTCGTTTAATTAAAATCCTATGAAAATTCTTTTTTTTTTATCTGAAAGGATATACTTACTGATTGGACTAATAGATTTTTTTTTTCGAAATTCGTTTAGTACTTTTGAAATAAAAAAAATGTTGTTTTGTCATAATTATAGTCTGCTTTTTTTGTAGGACAATATTATTAAGAATTATATAATAACGGCCACATAGTTCCACCAATGGCCTGGTTAAGTTAGCACTTTATGTTACGAGGACCATCTAGGTGCACAATGTTTAGATGTTTACATAGTACAGAGGAATAACACCTGAGTCCTCAAGAATGGGAACGCATGGGGGGTATCATGGGCGAAACAGTATACTCTGTTATGTCCATGATACTGCTCATGTATGTAGGCGACGGTTACCACTTTCCATCAGGTGGGCCGTCAGCTTGTTTGCCATTCTAAGTTGTATATAAAAAAAAACAATCAACAACACCTAGACTCGAGCCAATTCATAATAATTCGTTTACAAAATTTACTCAACCGGGAATCGAACCCGGGACCTCGTTCGCGAAAAGCAACGTACACACTACTGCAAGACAAAAATCGTCATTACAAAAAAAGAAATTCTTGATTGGGTTGAATTTATTTTAACGCAATAGCTCACCCAATTCAGAACCGATTTTGATAATTATTTATTATTATTTATTTTTTGAAACAGCCTTTATGGTCCACCCGTGTGTTCTAAATAATATACGTAAACGGGTCGTCAGTGAAGGACGAAATGGTCAGGATGAAGTTAGATCAATTGGGTCTTTTATTTGAATGTGTGCTCAGCCTTTGCTATCGGTATACGCTGAGGTGGAATCAGTTGGCGGTGTTTCTTAATGGGTGATAATGGAATGGTAACCCCACCCCGTCTCCGTTATCTGTATATACTAGTGGGGCACCAGTGAGGGATGATAAGTGGAGATGAAAGCATGCCAATTGGTCCATCGTTATGAAGTCAAAGAATTTATCAAGATAATTTCCAATGGAAACCGCATGGAGCTCGACCTGATATGGTTTATAGCTGTTGGCAATGGGGCTGTTAGATCCGCAATATTAACAATCCCTTTCCTCCCAGTCGAGGATGATAGGTGAGGATGAAATCCGGTCAGTTGGCTGGCCTATTATAGTGAATTCCTTAATTAACCGTTATGATTTCCAACGGGAGTCACATGAAAGTTGAACCGATAGAGGGCATATTGCTAGCAATTTTTTTTTTTTATATATTTTATTTTATACAACTTAGAATAGCAAATAAGCTGACGGCCCACCTGATGGTAAGTGGTAACCGTCGCCTATAGACATGAGCAGTACCATGGACATAACGGAGTATACTGTTTCGCCCATGATATAGCCATGCGTTGCTGTTCCTGAGGACTCATGTGTTATTCCTCTGTACCCAGTAAATACACGCCATGTCCCACCCTTCAAACCGAAACACAGCCATGCAAACACAACTGCTTTACTGTTGAATCACGAATGGGACAGAGGTACCCAAGCAATCGAATGTGCTGTTACATCTCCATAACTAAAGATCCCTTTCTCCCAGACCAGTTGGTGTCATAACGGTGAATTATTTTACGCAAAATCAAATAAATATCTTTAAACAGGCGAGAACGACCAGCTACGCTTCGCAGAAAAGGAACGCGAGTAAAACCAAGCGGCAGAAATGTTGGTTGTGAAGGAAATTGAGGCAGCAGTCGGTCATTCATGTCATCTGAGTGACAGGTACAGTTGTGGTTTCATAGTTTTTTATTTTTTATTATCCCTTTGCACTTGAACCTAGTAACTCATAAAAGATACTATTAACTCATTAATTTACCAATAACTTAGCAGAATTTTATTGGAGTTTATATAAATTTCATTATTGGGCCAATATATATATATATATATATATATATATATATATATATATATATATATATATATATATATAGTAACTAAAATACAGAGATATTGCTATATATTAACCCACCATTAGTTAAAACATCAGCAAAAGCGAAACTGTGGTTACCAGTCTGCCTCTCAAGCATGATAACTGCTGGAAAAATCAACCCAATGGTAAACTGCTATAAGGAATGATCCCGTACCATATGGCAGTCTATTAAGAAAGCCTCAACGTATAGCAGTGGACAGATGAAAGCTGATTATGATGATGATATATATGTATATATATATATATATGTATATATATATATATATATATATATATATATATATATGTATATATATATATATATATATATATATATAATGCTAAAATATTATCCTTTTGGACTTTTATAGTAGGATTTATCACGAACAAAATTTTAAAGTCCATTTAACTGAGTCAATTTCGGTATGAACAAAAACATGAAATTGAGACTGAAAATTCGGAATTTAATTTCATGGTTAACCTCCCTAGAACCGTTACAAGAATGACTACCCTTTTTTGTACAGTCAATAAATTAATTTAAATCAAATTTGCAGATGCTGAAATGGAGGAACAGTTATAAATTAAAAAATAAATCTGCCAAGTACTAGAAATTCGTGAAATAAGATGTTGAGTCTGCACTCCGGTGAATATACTGTACAACTAGTAAGAAATACAAGCTCAACATATATTTTAAGAAAATTCCTTAAAGGTAAGTTTGTTTGATTATTAATAATTGTTAAGTTTAGGTTAACTGTAACCCTCACGGTACTTTAAGATAGATCAAGATTAGGTATTTATAAGCCTTAGTTAATTTTGAACTTTCACGTTTTTTACACATATTTTAAAAGCACTATTGGGAATTAATAAAAATCTTGCTGGTAAATAGTACCAACGTATCTGCGTTCTGAACTGTTTAGTAAAGTTCTCGTTTCTGTTCAGAACTATTCGTGTATGAGAACTTTTCAGAAATAGTTCATTTGAGAACTATAGTTTTCTATATACTCTTTAGTGCTGCTATTTATTGTTTTTTGATATGTCTTATTACTGAGAATAGTTTTTTTTTTTTTTTTTAATAATGTTATACATTGTAGCAGTACTTAATTGCTTTAGATTATATAGATAGTGTCCCATACAAATGCTTCGAGAAAAGCGGGTCAACTTTTTCATACAATTTTGAAAGAAATAAATTTTATTTTACAATAATATATGACTATACACACACACAGGGATAAAAAAAAAATTATTAAGAACTATAATAAAGAAAGTACACAAAAAAAAAACTGAGAAAAAAATGCATATTATAACAGTTTCGTCCATAATAAGTGTTTGTGTGTGCGTCGCAATACCTGCAAAATGAGGTGCGTGCTCAGCATTTTTGCTGTAGTATCAGGGACACTACAGCGCTGATTTTCAGCACGAGCCTCGCCAACCTGCGGGGTCTTAATAATAACAATATTTCGATAAGTTTGACTAATACAGTGGTGTGCTTAAAGTGTATTGTGTAAAAACTGTACAAAAAAAAAAATATATATATATATATATATATATATATATATATATATATATATATATATAAATATATATATATATATATAATAAATTTGTAGTGGGTGATATTAAATGATAAATTAGGACGTTGTCAGTGGGAGACGCTCTATCTACATACAAAGAATAGTAATAACAAAAGAAAAAACATGAAACAAGTACAGAATAAGTGTTTTTTTACATAGTAGCACTACAGTTGATAAAGAAGTGTGTGTGATTTAAATTTATCAGTGAAATAGATGGTGTATATTGCGGAATCATCCCCGTATTCAACCAAGGACCAAAAAAAAACTAGGTAAGTACTTACCTGCTTTGCGTCATAAATAAATATGAGTGTTTCCTTTAACTTCTGTTTGTTTTATAATTTTTACGTCTTTTTAATGCGTAAAAATTCGTTTTATTAATTAAATAATTATAGATACGTCAAGATACATTGTGTGTATAGGTATATAGAACACTGATTAAAAAAAACGAGTCAGCTAATGTGATAATTAGCTGACAAAAAGTTGACCTGTTTTTGAGACTTGATCACTCTATCTATATAATCTAAGTTTATTGCTTATTTAAAAAAATATTGTTTTATTTATTAATTTTGATTTTTCCCTCTACCGAAATGTAAATATCAATTAATATTCTGAATGAAATTTTAATGTACCTTTTTTTTTTGTTTATTTTGTATTTATGGTTATTTTGTCTTTTATTAGATTATTTATTAGAAATATAATAATGAAAATTATTGTGTTTCTACTCGACTTCAATATAGCGTTGAAAAGTAGAAGTTTATTTTTCTGTGTGCTTTATTTTTTTTTTAATGGTCGAATTATCGGAATGCATGTTGTAACACAAATTTGTTTATTAACAAATTGGTTTTTTATTTATTGTACGATCACTATAAAGGTTTGGATTGGACACTTGTTTTATTCTACACATACAAGTCGAAAGCTTTTTAGTTCTTGTTTTTTATTTTTGTTTTTATTATTGTTTTGTCCGATATTTTTCGTCGCTTATTTATTATTTTACGCATGTTTGTGTTACCTTATTGTTCTATGTTAACCAAAATGTTATTTTTTTTTATATTGATGAATCGGGCATGGTGATGAAGTGCTAATTGCAAACGTTACTTACCCTTCCATATTATGCTATGTTGTTTAATTTTATAAACTAATTTTAAAGGAATGGTTTTTAGAACTTTGTTTTTGAAGTTGATCGATATTGTATGTACTTTACGGAAGAAGACGAAATTTGTTGCTTTTTATCAAATTATAGCACCAGCGTTTATTATATGTAATTTTGCAAATTTTGAGTAGAAATATCAGGTAAGTTTATTTTAATATACAATTATTTAGTATAGCCACTAATGAATACTTGTTTTCAGAACAAATTCTTGTTTCTTTAAACAGTTCTTTTCAGAACTGTAAGAGTATGTAAGAAAGTTATTATATAATAAATATAATGAGATTCCTTTAAAAATTCACAAGAGCAAAGAAAAGACAAAGAATAAAGGAATATACAGATTGTAATCTCGATATGTTATAAAAAGTTAATTGAAAAATTATTTAAAGAATGGAAACAAAAGGAATACAGACAAGTACACGAAACTTTTTATAAACGGTTCTTTTCAGAACCATGAACAGTTCTTTTCAGAACTATGTCCCGTTTCTAAATATAGTTCTATATAGAACTATTATTTCTTGTTTCTTGGATAAGTCTAGAGGATGGATAAGTCTACATCTGTATGTCATGATTTATTGTGTAATAAAGACTTATTAAGCGATTTTTTTTTTTAATTTTATACATTTAATAAATTGGCCACTAACTGTTCGTACTTTTAATGTGTTTATATGTGTGTATTGATTGAATAAATCAATTATTGATTATAAGATTTACGTTAATTGACTTTTAATGTTTCTATTTTTTACTATTTCGTGTTTAATTATTTTTATTATTGAGTGTCTCGATTTTTCAATTTTTGAAAGTGTCAGACTTGGGTTCAGAAAAAGTGAACGTGTGAAATTTTAAAATAACTAGTCATGATGGTGAATTAAGTGACAGTTTTATCGAAATATATTTATAACCACTGAGAAGTCAAGACCAGCGTACATTACGTATACGAAATGTAAACTTTTGATGGAACTACTCTTCAAGGTATCTTTCACTATCAAACTGTATATTTAGTTTAGGTGCAAATGAATCTTGGTATTCAAAACCAATTCTTATTATTATTTTGTGCTTTTTAATATAATTATTTAGTACTCAATATGATTGATGTTTACAGATAAGGATTGAATATAGTGTCAGACATGAAAAAAAAAGAATACCTAAAGTAGAGCAGATGGCCTTCAGAAGTCTTTTTGAAAGAAGATTAACCTGTCATCTAAGCGTAGCTTTACACTATTGATGCTAGTCTGCAAATCTGCATTACCAGGAAGAAACATTGTCAACTTTTTTTTTTTATTTTTCTCTTTTTTGTTTTTGTATTTTATAAATTCAGTAGTCATTCATACTTATAATCAGTGATGTGCCGGATCGTTAAAAGTGTATATCCGTGGATACGGATCTAAATACAGATATTTGGTGTCAAGATCCGCGAATATGTATACGAATCTTTATTTTCTTATTCGATCGGTGTCGGCGCATAAGATATAAAAGTGTAAAATTTGTGACGGAAAGTATTCCCGTAAGGGTAAATGCACAACTTATTTAAAAAAAATCATTTTAGTAGAAAATGTCTTGAAAAATATATTTTATTCTTAAAAGAAGACTCCGTTAAGGAGATCACCGAAATCGGACGAAGCAGGAACACACACTGATGCGCGGTGTCCATTTGGTAATCTAATACCCGGCGGGTCAGAGTAATTTTAGCGGAACTCTGCCACAGCCGTCGTTCATCATAATAATAGTTATCGCTTCTAAGTACAGTTCGTGTAAGTGTACTGATAGTGTACTTGTGTAGTGTAGTGTATGTATTAGGACATCTTCGTTACACGAAGGCATTTCACGAGCCTTTACCAGCCCCCGAAGCATGAAGCAAGTGACAATGATTTTACACGATTCAAACATGAATTTGAATACTACATGGCTACGGCCATAGGTTGGTGATGGGACTCATTGATAGTGTTCGATTGAAGATACATTTAATGGTGTACTAGTACAACGTTTGAACCAAACAGTTAATGTATAAGTTTATTTTCTTGATTATTTATATTGATTTCTCTTTACCGAGATACACTTTGAGGTAAACGTGTTACTAATATTTTATACTATATTGTGTATTTCTTTTCTTCAATTATAGCATTGAAGGTGTTGGATTTGGGTTCGGAAATTAAGTTTTAAGTCGTCAAGAATGGATATAATGATTATGATAAGAACAATAATTTTATTAAAATGTGGCAACAAATATTAAAAAGTTTAAATCTTCGACAAATCTAAAAATGGAACTACACCTCAAGGTAAGTTTCTTTCATAGTATTTACATACTAATGAATATTTATTTTCAGAACTTATTTCTCGTTTCATTAAACAGTTCTTTTCAGAACTGTATCAAGTTTCTACTATGTCTTGAAATTTAATATCATATCGACTATTAGTACTTGAATTATAATGAATAAGTAAATAATGGAGACTGGTTCAGAATACAATCACGACATTATAATAAGTAGTACTCGGAAAAATTCATACGAAGAATAATGCAAATGATGGAGTCAATTCCAGAACTATTCACAATAAAACAGTTCTTTTCAGAACTACAAACAGTTCTTTTCAGAACTATGTCTTGTTTCTAAATATAGTTCTATTTAGAACTATTGTTTCTTGTTTCTAAGATAAGTCTAGAGGATAGTCTACATCTATCTTATGGATTACCGAAGAAAGAGTAATATTTGTCATTCGTACATATACTCGACCTTTAGTGTAACGTCTTTATTAAGCGGATTTTAATATTTTTTTATTTTATATATTTGAATATTTATCACTAGCTATTCGTACTTTTAAAGTGTGTTTATTTATATGAATTATTCAATTCTTGATTATAAATTTGAGTTAATTTTGTTAGTTATTTTTTTTTATTAATTTTTGTTTTATTATTGATTGTTTAATCTTCAGTTTTGAAAGTGTTCAGTGCTCATTTGTGTTCAAGAAAAGTGAACGTATCAAATTTTAAAATAACATTGGCCTTGATGGTAAACTAAGTGACACTTATCCAAATGTATCTATAACCACTGAAAAGTCAAGATCAACGTACCTTACTTATCCGAAATGCAAACTTTTGATGGAACAACACTTCAAGGTATGTTTCACTATCAAACCATATTTTGTTTAAGTACTAATGAATCTTTTTGTTCAAAACCAATTTTTATGACTATTTTGTGTTTTATAATGTAATAATTTACTAAGAAGTAATGTAATATGATTGATGTTTACAGTTGAGAATTATAGTGTCAGACATGATAGAAAAATGTAGACACGAAGTTCTTCTGAATTCCTTTTGAAAGAAGATTAACCTGTCATTCATGCACAGCTTTACATTATTGATGTTAGTATGGGAATCTGTATTACCAAGAAGAACCATTATCAACTTTTTTTTATTCTTTTTTTTATAATATTTTATAAATGTAATAGTAATTCATACTCATAATTAGTGATGTGTTGGATCATTAAAAGTTTATGTCCGCGAATACGGATACGGAACTTTATTTTCTTGTTCAATCGGTGTCGGCGCGGGAGACCTTGAAATTATAGTTGACGTTACGTCCACCATAACGACAGGCAGGACATGTTTCCACTTACATTGGACGGCTATTACTTTTATTAATGGTTTAGGTTGCGTAAATAACGGTTAGAGTTATTTAAACAGATAGACATTATTTAAACTCTTGTACCAACCAAGAGTTTAAATAATGCCAACTATGACGTTTTCTAGTGTAATTAGAAATTGAAAAATTTAAAAGTGTTAAATTTGTGACGATATTAGTATTTCTGTATCATTCACAGGGAAAACACCCTAAAACGAGATTATTTTTAAAAGAAGATTCCGCTAAAAAGAATACCGAAATCGGACAAAGCAGGAGCACAGTGACGAGTTGTTTCCGTTTGGTCATCTATTACCCGGTCGTTCAGTGTAATTTAGCGCCACTCAGCCACAGCCGACGTACATCATAATCATAGTTATCGCCACTAATTACAACTGGTGTATGTGTACTGTTAGTGTAGTTGTGTAGTGTATGTGTTAGGCCATCTTAGTTACACACGAAGACATTTGTCATTTTGAAGCAAATAGCAAGTGACAATGACTTTACACGATTCAAACATGAATTTGAAACATTGAATAGTTCAAAAGATTTCAGAATCTCAGTCAAGCACTGTCCAACAGTCATCGCATTATTATCGCTAAAAGTCGAGAAGACCTAATCTCCAAAATTAGGCAGGACAAATGAGAAAAAGTAAACAATTTGTAGGGAGCTCAAGAAAAACGCGTACGGGAAAGAGCCCCAAGCAAGTACCGACGCGTTCTCCCAAGATTCGGCCCTCGCGACCGACAGGTTGCTACGGCCATGGGTTGGTGGTGGGACTTATTAATAGTTTTAGATTGAAAATATATTTAATAGTGTACTAGTGCAACGTTTAAACCAAATAGTTATGTATAATTTTATTTTCTTGATTATTTATATTGATTTCTCTTTACCGACATACACTTTGTGGTAAACGTGTTACTAATATTATATTTTATACTATATTTAGTATTTCTTTTCTTCAATATAGTATTGAAGGTGTCAGATTTGTATTCGGAAATTAAGTTTTAAGCCGTCAAGAATGGATATAATGATTATGATAATAACTAAGAACAATAATTTTATTAAAATGTGGCAACAAATATTAAAAAGTTTAAATCTTCTACAAATCTAAAAATGGAACTACACCTCAAGGTAAGTTTCTTTCATAGTATTTACATACTAATGAATATTTATTTTCAGAACTGTTTCTCGTTTCATTAAACAGTTCTTTTCAGAACTGTATCAAGTTTCTATTACGTCTTGAAACAATATCATATCGACGATTATTACTTGAATCGTAATGAAAAACGAAATAATGGAGATTGGTTCAAATTACAGTATGTAATAAATAGTATTCGGAAGAATTTATACGGAAAATGATGCAAATAGATTAATGAAATATATATAAAATATGGAGTCAGTTCCAGAACTATTCACAATGAAACAGTTCTTTTCAGAACTACAAATTGTTCTTTTCAGAACTATGAACAGTTCTCTTCAGAACTATGTCTTGTTTTTAAATATAGTTCTTCTTAGAACTATTGTTTCTTGGATAAGTCTAGAAGATGGTCTACATCTCTCTTATGGATTACCGAAGAAAGAGTAATATTTTTTTTTTCGGCATTACCTATACTCGGCCTTTGATTTAACGTCGTTATTAAGCGGATTATTATATTTTTTTCTTTTATACGTTTAAAAATTAGTCACTAGCGATTCGTACTTTTACAATGTGTTTATATGTGTGTATTAATTGAATAAATCAATTGTTGATTATAAGATTTGAGTTAATTGACTTTTAATGTTTCTATTTTTTACTGTTTTGTGTTTCATCATTTTTATTATTATAATATATAATAGTGTCTATTCTTAAATTTTTAAAGTGTCAGATTTAGGTTCAAGAAAAGTGAACTTATCAATTTTTAAAAAACATTAGCCGTGGTGGCGAATTGAATGCCAGTTTAATCGAAATGTATCTATAACCACTGAGAAGTCAAGACCAGCATACATTACACTAAATAGAAACTTGATGGAACTACATTTCACGGTATGTTTCATTACAAAAAAAATTTGTTTAATTACTAATGAATTTTTTGTTCGAAACCAATTCTTATTTCTTTATTATTTTGTGCTTTTTTATTTATAATTTATGACTTATATTGTTAATGTTTACAGATAAGAATAAATTATAGTGTCAGACATGAAAGAAAAGAAAAAAGTAGACAAGAAGGCTCTCTGAAGTCCTTTTGAAAGAAAATTTACTTATTATCCATGTAAAGCTTTGCATTATTAATGTTAGTTTGGGAATCTGCATTACCAAGAAGAACGATTGTCAACTTTTTTATTTTTTTAATATTTTATAAATTTAATAGTAATTCATACTCATAATCAGTGATGTGCTGGATCTTTGAAAGTGTATATCCGTGGATAGGGATTCGAATACGGATATTTGGTGTCAAGATCCACAGATACTGATACGGATCTTTATTTTGCATTGCGCAGGTATTACTTTAGTTTAAGGTTTAGGCCGTTTAGATAACGTTTATTGTTTTGGTACAAGAGTTAAAATAATGACTACTTACAAGTTTTCTAGTGTAATTTGAAATTGTAAAATTGTATAAAGTGTAAAATTTGTGACAAAAAAAAAGTATTCCTGTAAGGGTAAAGACGTGACATCTTTAAATAATCATTTACAGAGAAAAGATCCTAAAAATGTGATTTATTCTTGAAAGAAGACTCCGCTAAGAAGAGTACCGAAACCAGACAAAGCAGAAGCACGCAGTGACGAACGATTTCCGTTCGGTCATCTATTACCCAGCGGGTCAGAATAATTTTAGCGACACTCGACCACGCCCCTTATTCATCATAATCATAGTTATCACCACTACTTACAGTTAGTGTACATATGTGTACTGATAGTGTACTTATCTAGTGTAGTGTATGTGTTAGGCCGTCTTCGTTAGAGACTAAGGCATTTGTCGCGGCTTAACGAGCCCTCCGAAACAAGAAACAAGTGACAATGATTTTACACGATCTAAACATAGAATAGTTCTGAATCTCAGTCAAGCATTATCCAACTGTCATCGCATTATTATCGCTAAAAGTCGAGAAGACCTAATCCCCAACATTTGGCAGGACTAATGAGAGAAAGTAAATAATTTGTAGGGAGATCAAGAAAAACGCGTACGGGAAAGAGCCCCAAGCAAGTACCGACGTGTTCTCCCAAGATTCGGCCCTCGCGACCGACAGGTTGCTACGGCCATGGGTTGGTGGTGGGACTTATTAATAGTGTTCGATTGAAAATACATTTAATAGTGTACTAGTGCATCGTTTAAACCAATCAGTTAATGTATAATTTTATTTTCTTGATTATTTATATTGGTTTCTCTTTGCCGAGGTATACTTTGAGGTAAACGTTTTACTAATATTATATTTTATACTCTATTGTGTATTTCTTCAATATAGCATTGAAGGTGTCGGTTTCGAGTTCAAAAATGAAGTTTTAAGTCATCAAGAATGGATATAATGTTGATGATAATAACTAAGAACAATAATTTTATTAAAATGTGACAACAAATATTAAAAAGTTAAATCTTAAAATGGAATTACACCTCAAGGTAAGTTTCTTTCATAGTATTTCCATACTAATGAATATTTATTTTCAGAACTTATTTCTCGTTTCATTAAACAGTTCTTTTCAGAACTGTATCAAGTTTCTACTACGTATTGAAATTTAATGTCATATCGACGATTATTACTTGAATTGTAATGAAAAACTAAATAATGGAGACTGGTTCAGAATATAACGACAGTATTTAATAAATAGTATTCGGAAGAATTTATACGAAAAATCAGTTCGTAAATCAGTAGAAACGTCAGTTCCAGAACTACTCATAATGTTCAGATCTACAAAAAGTTCTTTTCAGAACTATGAACAGTTCTTTTCAGAACTATGTCTTGTTTCTAAATATAGTTCTATTTAGAACTATTGTTTCTTGTTTCTAAGATAAGTCTAGAGGATAGTCTACATCTGTGTGACATGGATTACTAAAGAAAGAGTAATATTTTTCGGCCGTACATATACTCGATCTTTGATGTGTAACGTCTTTATTAAGCGGATTCTTTTTTTATTTTATGTATTTAAAGATTTCTCTCTAGAGAAACGTACATTTAAAAGTGTGTTTATATATGTGTATTAATTTACTTACATATTGTTTAGAAATTTGAGTTTACTAAATTTTAAATGTTTCTATTTTTTTATACTTTGGGTGTTGATTATTGAGTGTCTCTATTCTTCAATTTTGAAAGTGTCAAATTTGGGTTCAGGAAAAGTGCATATTTGAAATTTTAAAATAACATTATTCATGATGCTGAACCAAGTGACAGTTTTATCAAAATGTGTCTATAACCACTGGAGAAGTCAATACCAGCGTACATTACTTATACGAAATACAAATTTGTGATGGAACTACACTTCAAGGTATGTTTGACTATCAAACTGTTTGATTTTAGTATTACTGAATTTCAAAACCAATTCTTATTACTATTTTGTGTTTTTTTAATAAAATAATTTACTACTTAATATGATGAATGTTTACAGATAAGGATCGGATATAGTGTGAGACGTGAAAGAAAAAAGACCAGAAGACCCTCTGAAGCCCTTTCAAAAGAGTTTTCTATCAACTAAGCGCAGCTTTACATTATTGATGCTAGTCCGGGAATCACAATCACCAGGAAGAGAACCATTTTCAAGTTTTTTCTTTTTATTATTCTCTTTTAATGATTCGTATTTTATAAATTGAGTAATCATTCATACTCATAAATAGTAATGTGTCGGATCGTTAAAAGTGTATATCCGTAGATACGGATATTTGGTGTCATGATCCGTGGATACAGATACGTATCTTTATTTTGCATTGCACGGGTATTACTTTTGTTTAAGGTTTAGGCCGTGTAGATAACATTTATGGTTTTGGTACAAGAGTTAAAATAATGTCTACTAAGAAGTTCTCTAGTGTAATTTGAAATTGTAAAAATCTAAAATTTGTGACGGAAAGTATTCTCCTAAGGAGAGTACCGAATTCAGACATAACAGAAACACACAGTGATGCACGGGTTCCGTTGGGTCATCTATTACTCAGCGGGTCAAAGTAATTGTAGCCGCTCTCAGGCACGGTCGTCGTTCATCATAATCTAGTGTATGTGTACTGTTAATGTACTTGTGTAGTGTAGTGTATGTGTTAGACCATCTTCGTTAGAGACTAAGGCATTTGTCGCGGCTTTACGACCCCTTCGAAGCAAGAAACAAGTGACAATGATTTTACTCGATCCAAACATGAATGAGAAAGTAAATATTTGTAGGGAGATCAAGTGAAACGCGCTCGGGAAAGAGCCCCAAGCAAGTACCGACGCGTTCTCCCAAGATTCGGCCCTCGCGACCGACAGGTTGCTACGGCCATGGGTTGGTGGTGGGACTTTATTAGTGTTAGATTGAAAATACATTTAATAGTGTACTAGTGCATCGTTTAAACCAATCAGTTAATGTATAATTTTATTTTCTTGATTATATTGATTTCTCTTTACCGAGATACACTTTGAGGTAAACGTGTTACTAATTTTATATTTTATAATATATTGTGTATTTCTTTTCTTCCATTATAGCATTGAAGGTGTTGGATTTGGGTTCGGAAATTAAGTTTTAAGTCGTCAAGAATGGATATAATGATTATTATAATAACTAAGAACAATAATTTTATTAAAATGTGACAACAAATATTAAAAAGTTTAAATCTTCTACAAATCTAAAAATGGAACTACACCTCAAGGTAAGTGTCTTTCGTAGTATTTAAATACTAATGAATATTTATTTTCAGAACTTATTTCTCGTTTCATTAAACAGTTCTTTTCAGAACTGTATCAAGTTTCTACTGCGTCTTGAAACTTAATATCATATCGACGATTAGTACTTAAATTGTAATGAAAAAAGTAAATAATGGAGACTGGTTCAGAGTACAATCACGACATTATAATAAGTAGTACTCGGAAAAATTAATATGAAGAATAATGCAAATGATATGGAGTCAGTTCCAGAACTATTCACAATAAAACAGTTCTTTTCAGAACTGTCTTGTTTCTAAATATAGTTCTATTTAGAACTATTGTTTTTTGTTTCTTGGATAAGTCTAGAAGATAGTCTACATGTGTGTGACACGGATTACTAAAGAAAGAGTAATATTTTTCGGCCGTACGTATACTCAATCGTTGGATTAAGTTCTTTATTAAGCGGATTATTTTTTATTTTTATTTTGTACGTTTAAAAATTTCTTTCTAGCGAAACGTTTTTTTAAAGGTGTGTTTATATATGTGTATTAATTTACTTACATATGGATTAGAAGTTTGAGTTAACTGAATTTTAAATGTTTCTATTTTTTTACATTTTGTGTTTTATTGTAGAGTGTCTATTCTTCAGTTTTGAAAGTTTCAAATTTGGGTTCAGGAAATGTGCACATGTGAAATTTTAAAATAACACTGTCCATGATGGTGAACTAAGTGACACTTTTATCCAAATATATCTATAACCACTGAGAAGTCAAGACCAGTGTACATTACTTATACGAAATACGAACTTAATGGAACTACACTTCAAGGTATGTTCCACTATCAAACTGTATATTAATTTAGGTGCAAATGAATTTTGGTGTTCAGAACCAATTCTTATTATTATTTTGTGCTTTTTAATATAATTATTTAGTACTCAGTATGATTGATGTTTACAGATAAAAATTGATTATAGTGTGAGACATGAAAGAAAAGATAAAAGTAGACCCGAAGGCCCTCTGAAGTTCTTTTAAAAGAAGATTTACCTGTTATCTAAGTGCAGCTTTACTATTAATACTAGTCTGCGAATCTACATTTTTTTAGAACTATTTTGTTTTTTTTGTTTTTGTGTTTTATAAATTCAGTAGTCATTCATACTCATAATTAGTGATGTGCCGGATCGTTAAAAGTGTATATCCGTAGATACGGATCTAAATACAGATATTTGGTGTCAAGATCCGCGGCTACGGATACGAATCTGTATTTTGCATTGCATTGCGCGGGAATTACTTTTGTTTATGTTTTAGGCCGCGTAGATAACGTTTATGATTTTGGTACAAAAGTTAAAATAATTTGTACTAACAACTTTCGTAGTGTAATTTGGAATTATTTTAACGTAATAAATAAAAGTTGGATCTGCAGTGTAAAATTTGTGACAGAAAGTATTTCCGTAGGGCAAAATAAAAAAAAATCATTTACAGAGGAAACATAGTGAAAAATATGATTTACTCTTGAAAGAAGACTCCGCTAAGGAAGATACCGAAAGCAGACGAAATAGGATCACACAGTAATGCTCGATTTCCATCTGGTAATCTATTACCTGGCTGGTCAGAGTAATTTTAGCGGCACTCGGCCACGGCTGTCGATCATCATAATCATAGTTATCACCACTAGTTACAAGTAGTGTATGTGTACTGTTAATGTACTTGTGTAGTGTAGTGTATGTGTTAGACTATCTTCATAACACACGAAGACATTTGTATCGCGGCTTTATGAGCCCTCCGAAGAAAAAAGCAAGTGACAAAGTTTTACCAGATTCAAACATGAATTTGAAATCTTTAATAGTTCAAAAGATCTCTGAATCTCAGTCAAGCATTATCTAACTGTCATCGCATACTGTCTTTGCACTTACTATGTACACATGTTTGCAAATAAATTTATCTTTATCTTTATTATTATCACTAAAAGTCGAGAAGACCTAATCTCCAACATTTGGCAGGACTAATGAGAGAAAGTAAACAATTTGTAGGGAGATCAAGAAAAACGCGTACGGGAAAGAGCCCCAAGCAAGTACCGACGCGTTCTCCCAAGATTCGACCCTCGCGACCGACAGGTTGCTACGGCCATGGGTTGGTGGTGGGATTTATTAATAGTGTTCGATTGAAGATATATTTAGAAGTGTACTAGTGCAACGTTTAAACCAAACACTTATGTATAAGTTTATTTTCTTGATTATTTACATTGATTTCTCTTTACTGAGATACGCTTTGAGGTAAACGTGTTTAGTATATTTTATACTCTATTGTGTATTTCTTCAATATAGCATTGAAGGTGTTTTATTTGCGTTCGGAAATTAAGTTCCAAGTCGTCAAGGATAAATATAATGTTTATGATATTAACTAAGAACAATAATTTTATTAAAATGTGTCCACAAATGTTAAAAAATTTTAATCTTTAACAAAACTTTCTCTACTTAAAACATACTACATTTAATGGTGTACTAGTACAACGTTTGAACCAAACAGTTATATATAAGTTTATTTTCTTGATTATTTATATTGATTTCTCTTTATCGAGATACACTTTGAGCTAAACGTGTTTAGTATATTTTATACCCTATTGTGTATTTCTTTTTTTTTTTTTTTTTTTTTTCAATATAGCATTGAAGGTGTTGGATTTACTTTCGGAAATTAAGTTGTAAGTTGTCAAGAATGGACATAATGTTTATGATAATAACTAAGAACAAAAATTTTATTAAAATGTGGCAACAAGTATTAAAAAGTTTAAATCTTCTACAAATCTAAAAATAGAACTACACCTCAAGGTAAGTTTCTTTCATAGTATTTACATACTAATGAATATTTATTTTCAGAACTTATTTCTCGTTTCATTAAACAGTTCTTTTCAGAAGTGTATCAAGTTTCTACTACGTCTTGAAACTTAATATCATATCGACGATTAGTACTTGAATTGTAATGAAAAAGTAAATAATGGAGACTGGTTCAGAATACAATCACGATATTATAATAAGTAATACTCGAAAAAATTAATATGAAGAATAATGCAAATGATATGGAGTCAATTCCAGAACTATTCACAATAAAACAGTTCTTTTCAGAACTACAAACAGTTCTTTTCAGAACTAAGAACAGTTCTTATCAGAACTGTGAACTGTTCTTTTCAGAACTATGTCTCGTTTCTAAGTATAGTTCTATTTAGAACTATTATTTCTTGTTTCTTGGATAAGTCTAGAGGATAGTCTACGTCTATGTTTCTATTTTTTACTATTTTGTTTTTCTATTATTCAGCGTCTCTATTCTTCATTTTTAAAGCGTTACATTTGAGTTATAACATTAGCCATGATGTTGAAATAAGTGATAGTTTTATCGAGTGTATCTATAACCATTGAGAAATAAATATGTGTAAATTTTTTTTAATTTAACTTGAAAGTAATTTGCTATCTACCTGGTGGTAAGTGGTAACTGTCACCAATAAGCGAAAATTGCACCATATACTATACAGAATACTGTGTTACATCCATAATACCCTTATCTCTACCTATTTAAAAAAAAAAAGCTATACAATTTTAAAACAGAATTAATCTATGTACTTTCCAGACCTCGTGAACTCTATCTTACAGCGAAGAAAAGAATCTTCTAGAACGCGAAGCTGTACATTACATCGAGTAAAGGAAGAGTACCAATACCAAGAAGAGTTCATGTAGTTGACGGCGGACGCCACCTACTCTAAAGAAGAAGGTAAGACCTTCAAACTTTGTTACATCAGATGTAATTTTTTTTTAATGGATGTTAATGGAATGGTAAAGGTGAGAATGAAAAGACAGGTCTGTTAGCCCATCTTGATAAATACACCTGGAAATAATTACGATAGTTTCCAGAGGGAACCACGTGGAGGTCGACCTGACAGGGCATATTGCTAGTAACGAGGCTGGTAGTCCGCATTTCTAATAATCTCCCCCCCCCCCCCATATCAGATATAATTAACATCTCGTGTATAATCCACTAACAAACATTTATCTTCAGTTTATCTTATAAAACTTTAGCCAAACTAACTGCCTGAACCAACCAATCCTTTTACAGACCTTGTGAACTTAAAAAAATCATAGAGAATAAAAATATTAAATACTAGCAGTTTCCTGCGGCATTGTCCGTTTCTAACGTATATCATTTCCATTGTTCCATCCATACGTACATAGTATTTTTTTTTTTTAGGATCTGCTGAGATCCTGTTATTTGGGAGCCGAAGTGTATCGCTATTGGGATACAATGCACAGCGGTGTATATATATGGTAAGCTATTTTGTTTTTTAATTATTTTTTTTATTTTACGTACATAGTATTGGGTACGTATACGTACGTATAACGTACCTAATACCTTCATAAAGTTTTAACCCATTCAACTGATCTGTTGTTTTATAGCATTTTAAATTTATGTTATTCTTAAGATTTAACAAAAAAATGTAAGTGTATGTAAGAAAGAAACTATAACAATGAATGTCCGCAATAAGTAATACGCCGGAGTTCTATTAACATAATGGTGATGTAAGACAGGACAAGACGGTGATTGCAGGCAATCTGGGCTGAGCGGACGTGTGGAAGGGACTCGGGTACAAGATTGTCATCACCGGCCTGCAATGGTTCATATACAGTGCGATCGAGATCACAGTTCATTTCATTAAGGTTCTTTTTTTTACTATTATGATGGCAAAAGCATTCTGCCTATCTGATAGTACATGGGGTCACCATAACGGCTGATATGGATATCACCAGTGACAAATTATAAGAAGCAATTTTATCTCGCAATAGCTTAATATCACATTCGCTGCTATTTGCCGAATAAAAAAAGCAGTGTCATAAAGTCTACTCGCTCGCATGTCATTTCACTTCCCAGCTAACCGAGCGTAGCCGATGAATCACGAATAAATCCGAACGCAACGGCTTGTTTTGCAACTCAGCTTGTTTGCCGTTCTAAGTTGCATAAAAAAAAATCAAGTAAAAAAGAACTCGGTTGCATGTAACTAACAAATACAATATATTGTTAACTAAATGTAATACCATTGCTTTACAGGTGTGATGGGATGATGCTTTCTCTCCCTCTCGCAAGCTGTTCCTACCTGCTCTCCAGCCGACGCTGCAGTCTTCTAGAAGCAGAAGAATTGAAAGCAGACATAACAAAATTATAGTTTAGTAATTTATACATATTTTTTTATACATGTAGAGATAAAACTAATGGTATATGTCTATATTTATAACAGGAATTTTACGAAATTATCATATTTGTCGTTTCCGACTGCATCCGGAAGTCCTCTTTAGGGGGCTTACGCCTCTTTGAGTCACAGCGTGCGACACGAGATGCTGTGACTTTAAAAAATTAATATAAGTTTTAAAAATCTTCTTTTAGATAGAGAATTTATTTGCATTACTTACAGCACACAAATAACAATACAAACATACACAGTAAAAGAGATAAAAAAAAATAAAAAAAAAGGAAAAAAATGGACAATATATAAAACAATTTCCCCAAAGTTTAAGAAATTCTAGAGGCGGGCCAGGATTATAGAAAAATTGTGTTAAAGTTTTTAATTATAATATTATAAAAACGTTTCAGCATTTTGCATCTATTATTGTACTAAGTAGAATCTACTTTTTCTCAAACATGCTTGGAAATGTGAGCATTATTTTGACAATCTTCAAGATAAATCATAAATGGCCGTACTGGTCAGAGACATGCGGGCAGCGGCCGGCAAAAGTTGTATGAAAATCCATATCTGTCGTGTTTTGCAGCTAAATAAATTACTATGTAAACTCATATCTGTCCTGTAATTTAAAAATGGAATGACCTTTTACTTCGAAACATGGCTGCCAAGGAGGTAACTAATAAAATGTTTTATTTAAATTTCGAATTGGCTTGCAAATAAAAAGCCGTTTATTGAAAAAAAAAACAAAGGAACATTATGGCGCGTGAAAAATTATTATTATTCGTTATTTGTCATTGAACTTAAAAAGTAAAATTGTGTTTTTGATTTCCACGCATTGTTTGAGAAAAGTACTATACAAGCCATAGCCACAACTAGACATTGATGGACTCACATATGTGTCTCGTCTGCGCCTCGACCCACATTTGCACGTTCGTCCATCAATGCCTCAGTTGCTGGCCGCTGCAGTAATGTACTATATACTTTTTTTTTTACAACACTGGGGGCAAACGAGCATGCGGCTCGCCTGATGGTAAGTGACTACCGCCGCCCATGGTCACCCACAACACCTACGGCATTGCAGGTGTGCTGCCGGCCTTTTAAAAAGGAATATGCTTTTTTCTTGAAGGTTATGTTGTCGTATCGGTTCGGAAATACTTCTGCTGGAAGTTGATTCCAAAGAGTGGTTGTGCGTGGGAGAAAGTGCCTTGAAAAACGCACGGTGGAGGATCGCCACTCGTCCAGATGGTTGGGATGAAATTTTAGTTTATGGCTTCTCGACCGTCAAAACACTTAGCGGGCCATATACTATCCATGTCGATAGGCATTATTCGGCGGGCCAGATTAAATACTTTCGTGAGCCAGAGTTAGCCCGCGGGCTGTACTTTGCACATCACTGCTCTTCAGCAATCTTTCCCAAAGTGAGCAGTAAGAGACCCAAAAAAAATGAGAGCGTTTTGTACTGGCTTGAGGGGTGATTTGTTCATCTTGAAGTAATTGTGGTTTTTAAATAGGTGAAAAAAGAGGGGACGTTAAAAAATAATTCATTCTCAAAGTGGGCAGTAGACAAAACAAGTTTGGGACTCCCTGCTCTACAGGATGACGGCCACGTGGTATTCCCTGGAAACTTTCGTGATTGATTCCTGATGACTCTGTCACGATGAACCAACTAACTTGCGCTGGTGCCCTGTCAGTGTATATAGTGCAGGTAGGGTTACCATTCCAATATCATTCAAAAAATGCACTAGTCTCAATAAAGTTAGGATTTATAGAAAATATTTAATATAGGAAGTTAATTAAAAAACACTTGCTCTAATTACGTAAAAAATATATATATTTCTTATAGATATGATACCATCTTTTATAATTATATTATATTTATGGAATTTTAAAAATCAAAATATATATATATATATAAGGAATAATAGAACAATGTTATATACTCATTCTAAACATACGTCTGTATTTTTAATGTATTCGATTCTTATACGATTGCCCATAAAAGAAGTGTAAGTTTATTTATTCCACAATACCTTCTAAACGACCAACAAATTTTTAGGAAATTTATTAGAATCCTTATACTCGTACATACGGTCATTCCGAGTATTTTTTTTTTAAATTGTGCACGAGTCATGTTTTTTAATTTGGTGGAAAAAAAATGTTCTTATATCGAGACATAGTTTTGACTTCAATCATTTATTGCTATTTCATGTTGTAACAATATAGGTTTTCTTTTGTAATTATATTTTTTTTTATATAATTTAAAAAAAAATCTATCTAATAAATTTTATATTCTTATCATCATATCACCCTTTAACTGTCCACTGCTGAACATAAGCCGCACTTTATGGGGTTTTGCCAGTTGTTGCCACGCTTGGCAGGCGGATTGGCAATTGCAGTTAGGCTTTGGAGATGTTTTAAAAGAGACACTGCTGCCCATCCCTTGCCTTCCCTTAGTCTCTTACGACACCCATGGGAAAGGAATGGGATGGCCTATTCTATGCCGGGAACCACACGACGATTAATTAAATTTTACATACTTATTCTGAATATAATATAGCTGTATTTTAAAATATTTAAATTGGTATATTCAACAAGATCTATATTCCTATCTAAAATGTATTTGTCATGTATTTAGGTTCTTTCCTATATTTATTTGTATGTCTTTATTTATTTGTAATCGCTTAAAATTTGTATTTCAAATAAATACTGATTTTATATATAATTATATTTTTATTTAACTACAAATATTTATTCATCTAAAATAGTCACTATTAGCTATTATTTTGTACTATTTAAGATATATTAAGATAGAAAAAGAGAACACCAAAATTTATGTAATTTTCCTTATACCAAAACCTTTCCTTGTATTTATTCATCTAAAATACACGTTATGAGCCATTATTTTGTACTATTTAAGATATATTAAGATCGAAAAAAAAACAGCAATGTTTATGTAATTTTTCTTATACCAAAACCTTTCCTTATATTTATTCATCTAAAATATATGTTATGAGCCATTATTTTGTACTATTTAAATTATATTAAGGTAAAAGAAGAGAACAACAAAATTTACATAATTTTCCTTATATCAATACTTTTCGTATTTATTTATCTAAAATATTAACTATTAGTCACGTAATGGTTTAGTACGAATCTAGGTATATTAATAATAGTGAACACACTAAATTTATTAAATTTTTCTTATACCAAAATTTTCTTCGTATTTATTCATCTAAAATAGTTACTCTTAGTTAATTATTATTTTATACTCTTCAACATATATAAAGATAGACGAGAACGCCAAAATTTGTGTAAATATACCCAATACTTTTCTACGTATTTATTCATTTAAAATAGTCGCTATTAGTTATGTAATTATTTTGTACGATTCAAGATATTTTAAGGCAGAAAAGAATACCAAAATTTATGTAATTTTCCTTATATCAATCGTATTTATTCATCTAAAATGTTCACTATTAGCAGAGTAATTATTTTGTACCATTCAAGATACATTAAGGCAGTAGAAGAGAATGCCAAAATTTATGTAATTGTCCTTATATCAATATTTTTCTTCGTATTTATTCATCTAAAATATTCACTATTAGTTAAGTAATTATTTTGTACGATTCAAGATATATTAAGGCAGTAGAAGAGAATACCAAAATTTATGTAATTGTCCTTATATCAATATTTTTCTTCGTATTTATTCATCTAAAATATTCACTATTAGTTAAGTAATTATTTTGTACGATTCAAGATATATTAAGGCAGTAGAAGAGAATACCAAAATTTATGTAATTGTCCTTATATCAATATTTTTCTTCGTATTTATTCATCTAAAATATTCACTATTAGTTAAGTAATAATTTTGTACGATTCAAGATATATTAAGGCAGTAGAAGAGAATACCAAAATTTATGTAATTTTCCTTATATCAATATTTTTCTTCGTATTTATTCATCTAAAATATTCACTATTAGTTAAGTAATTATTTTGTACGATTGAAGATAAATTAAGGTAGAAGAAGTGAACACAATTAACCTTATTTTTTTTTTTTTCTATATTTTACTGAACTAAATATTATTTAGCGGAAGTCCATACCACTAGTTGATTAGAATTATTTTGTTTAATTCCGCTACCCTTATTATGTGTGGCAGCTGGCAACACTCTAAGATTACCTAATATTATTTAGATAGTCCCAGAAGATAGTTAATTTGTCTCCGCAGGTTATTAAGTGGATAGTATTACTTAGAGAAATTTTATAAAGTGAAACCACGTATTAATCCTGTTCCTTCCTTACGGAGCCATCTTTTTTTTATTGTAAAATTTTAAGTTTTTTTTTTTTTTACAAAAAAAAATGGTAAGGAATTAAATCTATGTTTCGAATCGAAACTATATTATCAGAAATTCTATAACTTTCTATGGAACTCAACAATTCCATAATTATTTGCGTATATCGTCCGCCGTCAGTTTAACTCTTGAATTGGTCATGGAAAAGACCTCAATGCCTCCACGCATCGTGCGACTAATGTTTTATAACCAGAAAATGTTAGCAAGCCATCAGCTGTGTTCAGTTTTAATCATGCAACTCCCGTGGATATAATAAAAATATTTAAATCAATAATAAAAAAAAAAAAACCAGTGTAATTGAAAGCATTGCATCCTCTCTTGCTTTTATCTATACTTATAATAAATCTGTAGAGAGGTCAATTCTGTACATGAAATATATTTCCAAAATAACTATCAGCGGGTGATTAGTGATCGATACTGATGCTAAAAATGTAATCAGTAAAATTGTTGTCTGTCTGTATGTACGTTATAGAAACAAAAACTACTCGACGGATTTTAACGAAACTTAGTACAATTATTCTTCATACTCCCGGGCAGGTTATAGTATACTTTTCATCACGCTACGATCAATAGGAGCAGAGCGGTGAAGGGAAATGTGTCTGTTACATCAAAACCACTGAACCGTGAGGAAAGAACGTAGGCTTCTTATTTTACGAAAAACGACGGAAACGCGGACGAAATCGCGGGCAACAGCTAGTTTTTAATAACTGCATAGATGACGATAAGTTTTCTAATTTAACGAAATTCAGCAAAATGATACCGCTTTTTAAAGACTGAATTAAAAATGATCCAGTAAATTATAGATCCATTTCCATTCTTCCCACACTGAGAAACAAAATTGTAAAGTCTTTATTTTTCATAATTTACATTGGACACATTATAAGATTTAATATACAGTGGCTTACTTATCTCATAGAGGGATCTCTTAATCAGTGGCGTAACAATAGGGTGGCAGGGCTGGCAAAATGCCACGGGCCCCCAACCTAAAATCGCCCTGGCTCAATTTTTTTTTGCATTGTACCTGAGTATTTTATTTTACGTGAAAAGTATTTTTATTGATAGGGCCCCATCAAAAGAATTTGTCACAGGCGGCCTGTGGCAAATTCTATTAGGTTTTTTCCCAAATAAATACCCGGTTTTTTCCCATTTGGGAAAAAAACCGGGTATATTCCCGTTGGGTTTTTTCCCACTGCCCATCTCTAGACAGGCCCCAAATGGTGTATATTACGCTATTGCTCTTACTGTTGAGAAGCTGAAAGAAAACTATAGAATGTTCAAGAGTAAAAACCATACAGTTAAACTCAATAATATCTAGTTAAATTTGAACATATTTTCTTTTTTATATATTATATATACAATGAAAAATATATTACAAATAAAATCGTTGAATCAATCAGTTGATTAGCCCTTAAAAGCCTGATTTTTTAAATCAAATTAAAAAAATATATAAGTGTACCCTTTACTGTGTTTACTAATGGGGAAAAATAGTAAAAAAAATCAAAACGATATTTTTATATTATTTTGAAAAAAAAAAACATTTGGTATCATTTTTGATACTTTAGGCATTACGGTATCAAAAATAATTTATTTAACAATGAAACAATGCAAACCCCGGTATCAAATTTGAAAATTCAGGTATTTAAGGGTTTACTAAACGAATTATTTCATGGTAGTGAATTTGGATTTTTTAAAGGGTCTTTAACTGGGGGGAAAAGGATTGTTAGCAATGGAGTTCGACATTGCTAGCAATATCGAACTCGGAAGTGGATGATGGATGAATGTGGAAGTCAGATCGACCTTCACGTGGTTCAGATTGGAAACCATCTTTCTTTCTTTCGGTCTTTAACTACGCACGCAAATACAGAGTTAATAAAATACATTTTTACTGCCTGGAATAAAATGGATGCAATTAGTGTTTTTTGTGACCTATCTAAGGCTTTCGAATGTGTAGATCATGATACGTTACTGAAAAACACTAGCTTTAATGAAATTATTTATTTATTAGATCCACTGGGTGAGCCTTACAGTCTTCTAATACGCTTACCCAGGAAAGCATGAGTACAATAACATATAAAAAAGAATATTACACAAAAATATTAAACAAAAAATAATATAAAAGGGTTTAACTGAAACAAAAAACGTCTGAACACAATTACTCTGATTACTTGACGAAACTCCAGCAAGTTGGAGGCAAATAAATCCAATTGCGGATACGGGCTCAAAGTATCATTGAGTAGTTTCAATGCAAGAGATAGGGGAGTCTGCTTAGCGAACTCTGTTCTTCGTAGTGGAACATCGAATAAGTGCTGTTGACGTGCTCGCACGTAGTTACTGGGCGCTCCTATTGATATTGATTCCAGTACAGATTATACTATTTATTAAACAAAATTCAATAAGTTTAAGTAAATAGTGTTACATCAAACGGTTCGCTTTTGCGAGTGGGTGTACCTCAAGAATCTATTCTGGGGCCATTCCTATTTTTAGTTTTTATTAATGATATCTCTTTTGCTATGTAGGATAGAAAAAAAATATTTTATTATCCGCAAACAATACCATGCCACATGGTATTGTTTGCGGATAATAAAATATTTTTTTTAATGTTTAAAACAACAATTATTCAAGTTACTTTTATTTGTTAAAAATATAGTACAAAAGTAAATACTTCCATGTTTCGTCGATACCTTTGAATGACAATGACTGACCGACATAGACAAAACTATCATAGATTAAATATATTAAACTCATTACAATGTTGATAGATTAACCAAAAACTGACGTGCATTCATTTTCACCTATCATCTTCCCCTGGTGCCCCGTCGGTGTATACAAATAGCGCGGGCGGGGTTACCATTCCATTTTTACCCATTAAAAAAAAATTATGACGATGTAAATAATGCTTTGCTACGTCTCTTGCTTTGGTTTGCAAATAATAATTTTATTTATTTATTTAACTCTTAAATAAAATTGCACCATAAATAAAAATATACAATGACAAGTGAATAATTCAAGTGAAATACAGTAACATAAATACAGATTGAAATATACACATAAAGGTACAAAAGGCGGTCTTACCGCTAGAGCGATCTCTTACAGACAACCTTTGGTTAAAGGAGAACAGATGGGCAGGTGGCGCAAGAGAGAATTAATAATTTTTCGTGCATATAAATAATAATGTTGAACGCTAAAAAAACAAAATGCTTAAATTTTTCTTTATCTAAAAATCATAATTCCAATTATACGGTAATATTAAATAACGAACCACTTGATTTTATAGATTCCACTGTCTTTTTGGAATCACTGTTCATAATAAAACCCA